CATTATATTAAAAATGTGAGGTTATTATTTTAAATAAGGGATATTCCTATAAATTATTCATATTCATTTCAAAGAGTTCCTTGCAGGAAAATTGCATCAAAAAATGAGTCTGTAATACATATGAGCATTTTTTCTTGGCAAAATACTTATATCAGATATGGACCTTTGAATAAGTGATATGTTTGACAACAAACGATTTCTAATTCAGAATGAATTATTTTCAACTGTAACCACTTCATTAATTCTTTAAGTCTTGCCTGACTTATAGTAAGGGCTTCTCATATTCCTTAATTAAGTTAAAATAATTTTTAAAGCTTAAATAGTAAACTGTTGTTAACTTTAAAAAAGCAACCAATAGAATATTATTTTGATTTTCATGACCACAAGTGATATGTCATAACAAGTCATATTACTTACCGGTAATATGCTTAAATTCTGTAATCTCCTAATAAGGGAGAAAATCAGTTTCTTCATTGAACCTATGGGAAATTAGATATAATTTTTGTTTTGCAGTGTAATTTTATAAATCTTATTAAACATTGCAAGTTTAATGGCCATTCCAACTCCCCAATTGGAGTTTACTGTAGACGATTATGAATATTTATATTCTGACTACGTCATTCTATTTCATATACACCACAGATAGTCCTTGATTTACAACAGTTCATTTACTGACCGTTCAAAGTTACAACATTGAAAAAAGAGACGTATGACCAATTTTTACACTTATGACCGTTGCAGCATCCCCATGGTCATGTGTTCAAAATTCAGATGCTTGGCAATTGACTCATATTTATGATGGTTGCAGTGTCCTGGGGTCATGTAATAGCTTTTTGCGACCTTCTGACAAGCAAAGTCAATGGGAAAGCCAGATTCACTTAATAACAGTTTGACAACTACAGTGATTCACTTAACAACTGTGGCAAGAAAGGTTGAAAATGGAGCAAACTCTTTTAACAAATGTTTCACTTAGCAACAAAAATTTTGGGTTCAGTTGTCATACGTCAAGGACTACCTGTACTAGCCCATATGTTCTAAAATTACTGAGAGAATTTTGCATGTGATATGGGTACAAGTAAGACTAGTAGTTTAGCCAACTCTTTTTTTTTTCTTACAAAGAAGTATTATAAAAATGCTTCAATTGACTAAAGCCATAATAGGCAGCATAGATTAGTTTCTGATGTTCCTCTCTGGTAATGATCATGACATATGGGAAATTATGACTTGGTACATAGGAAAAATAACTGTTAAAGAGAATTAACTCTTGAACACAAGAAAACAGTTGTGTTATCTGCTTCTGAAAATAAGAAAAAGGCAAGAGTGCTAGCAATAGCACTTAGACCTATGCACCACTTCACAGTGCTTTACAACCCTCTCTAAGTAATTTACAAGAGTCAGCATATTGCCTCCAACAATCTGGGTCCTCGTTTTGCTGACCTCGGAAGGATGGAAGGCTGAGTCAACCTTGAGCCGGTGAGAATTGAACTGCTAAACTGCAGACAGCCAGCAGTCAGCAGAAGTAGCCTGCAGTACTGCATTCTAACCATTGTGCCACCAGAGCTAGGCCTGAATAAAGAGGATTTATCTGTGTGGAGCACAGTTAATGCATGCAGGTAGGTGACGTTCTAAGTATAATTGTGAAAGAAAGGGATAAATTTGTATAAAACACAATGAATAAGGGACATCTATTTTGGTGTGAGGTATTTGAATATAGGAAGTTGTAGGTGGTGATGGGAATTGATATATATTACATTGAAAGAAACAGAAAAATGTTTTTAAAAAAACAGTATAGCATTCTGAATATTGTTCCTCATTTTGAGTATGTGACCCAAGTGTAAGAATTACCTTGACCCTTATCTGGCACCAATTAAGTGCTGAACTTTAGTTAACTAGATTATTGACCAATAAATCTTGGCTACTGCAACTTAACACATAGTCCTGATTCTTTGTACCTGATAGGAAGTTGCAGATCAGCTTGCTAAAAATACTAAGCATTTGCTCCGAGTGTCTTTGCCTGACTGCCATAAATGTACCCAGGTCTAAATATCAGGTGAACATAGGGACTTGGTTATACAAGGAAAAAAAGCAAATTAGAGATGCATTGGCAACATACCATCCATTGTCATCTAAAATTAAAACATAGTCAATTCTGGGATAATAGAAATTAATGGTAAAAATGAAAAAATGAGGATAAAAAGACAGTATACAATGTATAGAAAGAGAAAACATCAGTTATAAAAATGTAGTCCAAAAGAGTTTAAGAAACACAAAAAATACAGCTTTGGATGGAAATTAAAAATGTGTCAAAGGGATAAATGATGAGCTTCCATCACATTGAACAGAATTAAAAATAAACACAATAAAATTGTGAAGCGAAGAAAAGCTTGAAAAAGTATTTTAAAGTACTTTGTGTGAAAATGTTACTGAAATGTCAAAGGGTGGAACTGAAATGAATTTTATAAATGTTAGTGACCAGGAAAAAAATGATGAAGAAATCATAAGAGCTGGGGAATGTTTAAAAAATGGAAAGGCTACAGTGTAGATAGCATAACTGGAGAGATGTCAACATTTGGGTGTGTTTTTCTCCTAACGTTGCTATGCCACTTGTTTTTATCTGAGTGTGAAGACTGCATTGCTGCTTGATGATTGGTAGAAGGTTATTGTAGAGAAAATGTGTAATAAATGAATGTATAAAAATTAGCATGTTAAGCATGCCTCAAAAGGTGTTTGATAAATTCTGAAAGTGAAAATAAACAAAAGGCCAAGCTGTGGATGAACAGACTAGAGTTTTGACCTTCGATAAATCATTGACTGTTAGATTTTTGATACAGAGAAAGCATATTATAAAATGAATAGACCTGAACTTTAAACATTTTGCAAAATAGTTTTCTGACATGAGTAGGATACAGAATGGCAGACTGAGCCTTATAATAATGACATAAATCACTAAGCAAGTAAACCAAAAATTAGCCACATTGTCTTGTAATGTCCAGAGACTGAAATATTAATTGTTTTCATTATCATTTAATTACTTTAATCATTTGTTTTGAAAATTAAGAAAAGTCTCTAAGAGCCTCTTAAGACTTATAAAGGCACTTGTCCTCCCATGACTTCTCTCTGGATTGTTATTGCATTTTCTTTTCAGAGGACTTGCTGTGAAGAATATTTGTAAAATACTATTAGTGCAGGTTACTAGGGATTTATGTGTGGTCAGGTACAATTCTAGATGATGCCAATAAGTCCTAAATGCTGAAGACCAGAATATGGATAGGCTGTTAACAAAAATGTCTCAAGTACTTGTTAACATTTTTGAAAGCAGGAAAATCATACTATGACTTTACATAGCAGTATTCCTCCACATGACACTCTTCAAATGAGTTCAACTTCTACAATGCTTTCCTAGGCTGGAAATTATTTATTTTTATTTTATTTGAACGTTAGACTTATATTTGATTTTTTGCCTTCAGGAGTTCCAAGTAATATGCTCCCTTCTTCTATTTCCTGGCAAGCGCCATTAAAACTGGGTCTCTCAACTCATAGTCTAAACATTATACTACATTAATTTTGGCAGTTGAAATCTGACAAATCTAAAGAGCTTAATTTAGATTAAGCTTGTTGATGGTCAAAATGCTTTCATGTCATTATTACATCCACTTTGCAGATTGAAAATTGTGAATGACTGACACTACCTTACTTCAAATTACTCAGTGTAATAGCTATACATAGCTATGATAGGATTTGCTCTGAGACCACCCAGGCTAAATCTAGTGTTCAGATGAACTACAGAACAATTGTTTTCTTTCTGTTAGTAAATATTAATCATTGCTTTGCAGCAAAGCAAATTTTAAGCTCTGTTGCAGTTACATATATAGTTATATGTAACTACATTTTCAAGCTAGCTTTAAAGTAATACTTTGGAATCATTTTTTAAAAAATTCTACTTTATTAAAGGTCTCGTGTTGGAACAAAGGGTAGAATAGAAATATTTTAAATGAGTATTTTGCTTTGTTTTTTAATGCAATGGGCAGACTATTTACTCTAAACTCCAAATAAAAAGTTACCTTAATTATATGTAGTTTACATCTGAGTTTTTTATTGTTATGATATGGAAAACAACCAAACAATATAGTGACTTTTTCTGCTTGGTTTCACTTTAGAAAAGTGAAAGAGTCTGAGAGCAATGTGGAATAGAAACACTCTTAAAGAAATCTCTTGCACTTACGTCTGTCTCAGTGTCCCTATGGGCCCATGATCAAAATTTTGATGCTTGGCAACTGGCATGTATTTACCACAGTTGCAGCATCCTGGAATCATGTGCTTATCATTTACAACCTTCCCAGGGGGATTTCCACACGCAAAGTCAATGGGGGAAACCAGATTCGCTTAACAACTGCACGATTCACTTAATGGCAGAGGTTTGAGTCCCAATTCTGGTTATAAGTTGAGGGCTAACTAAAAATGATAATAATAGGAAAGAACTACAAGTCATCACAGATGAGATCAGATGAGGATGCTAAATGTCAAACCCTGAAGTCCAATTCTTTCTCTCTCCTTAGCCACCAGAAAAGGAAGGTGGTCTACCTCGTCAGGTTGGCAACAAGACAGAATGTGGATTGCTTGGACTTCTTGTGAATCTAAAGCATGATTATCAGCCTGCTCGGATTCAAATGCCTGAAGAGAAACTCTACAAAGTTTACACATTTAACTCTGTGAGAAAGTCAATGAGCACTGTCATTAAAATGCCAGATGACAGCTTCCGAATGTATAGCAAAGGGGCTTCTGAAATTGTCCTAAAGAAGTATGTGCACGGTATTTGTTTTGAAACCCTTTTTCATTAATTCTGTATGGAAGTTGCTTTGTGAATATATACTACTGCCAAAGATAGTCAGATAGATGTGTGCCCACTGAATCGTCAAATCTCCATAAAAAGAATGAGACATTCTTTTATGTAAAATTTGCAATACATTTGTTTTTTTAGTGTATCATCATATACTGGACAGTTATGAGTAAAATATGTATCAAGTGTCGCCAATCTCTATTTCTTTATTATAAGTACTTGCTTTGAGCAGGATTTGAACTAATGCATAAAGGGAAGTGGTAAAGAGATCTTTTGACACATCTCTTTCTTTAGAAAAACTTTATTTTGTTAACTGGAATTTCACCACTCATTAATTCGGGAAAGTATGATCCAAGCTGCCGCTGCTATATTATTTTTTAAATTTTATCCTAAATGCCATAATCTAACCCACCCCTCTCAGTTGTTTGCAGTGGTGATCCAGTCATTTGTTTTCCTTTCTTTTCAGATGTTCTAAGATTCTTAATGCTGCAGGTGAGACTCGCATTTTTAGACCTCGTGATAGAGATGAGATGGTTAAGAAAGTGATTGAGCCCATGGCCTGTGATGGATTGAGAACCATCTGTGTTGGTTTTCGAGACTTTCCCAACGATCCTGAACCAGATTGGGACAATGAAAATGATATTTTAACTGATCTTACCTGCATTTGTGTGGTTGGCATAGAAGATCCTGTAAGACCAGAGGTAAAAATATTTTAAAACAAAACAAAAAACCCAAGAAGCTCAGAGGGTCTTTTCCTCCTGTGGGTAGTAAAAAAATAAAAACATCAGGTGTTTTTTTTTTAAAAAAGTGAACTTTTCAATATTTCCAAACATAATGCAATACAAAAACAATATGTACAAATGAATATCTGAACGCCTTTAGAATTCTCATTTGACTATCAGAAACGGAACTATTTTGCTAACACTGCATGCTTGGTGAATTTGCAGTTGATGAAAGGAAGACAGTAGAAACATTTGTTTTCTTGGGCTCCAGAATAAAGATGGACAGGGTGCTGGAAATTAGTTCTAGAGAGGAAAACAATAGCAGACCTAGACTGGATTGTGAAGCTGAAGGGCTTTTCAAGAACAACTAAAGATCAGAATAGTTAAAGCAGTAGACTTCTGGAAGTCTGTAAAAGCTAAACACAAAGAAAGTGAAAGAGAAATGTAGATGCTTCTGAACAGCGGCCATGAAAAATACCAAGGATTGCAAGAAGAACCAGCCATTCCTTGACCACAGAAAGACTGATTGCTCCCTTGAGGTGATGTGCAGCAAGCAGAAGCTCACATCATTTTGGCAAGCAGGCAATGAACAAGAACAAAGTAGAACTAGAATGAATAGATGCAATCAAAGAAATTACTGGAGAGCCTTTTACAGGTTGAAATGGCAAGCTTTCAATTATAGAATGCCCCGGAATCAGGCATACTCTGTGACACTTAACTAGTTAACTAGCATTGATTTCAATCATTCTTATTCATTTTGATAGAAAAGTCCTTTCATCATTCGGTTTGAAAGTTTGGGTGGGGTGAAGCAGCTTATGAAATGACTGGGGATGTATGTGACAGTCCTGCATTGTTATTCACTACGGTACTTTCTTCCGTAATGTGCAAGTAAAGGTAGGAAGCTAGCAGCAGCCCCACTCTATTTCTAGACACAATAAGACAAGCTTTAAAATACCAGAATAAATCGTACGGTGATTCTGACTGGAAACTTATACATTTTGTTTGCAAGAGATAGAAATTTGACAGAACTGGTAGGTGGATTTTACTGACTCATGGAGGACAGCTTTGATTATTATTTTTTGCTTTCACAATCGTATTCTTTTGAAAAGGCTATTATAATTATAGTTTATTTGCTTTTTTTTTTTTTTTTTTTTAAAAATGACCTACTGGTGTGAAGAAAGTTTTCAGCAGTTTACACACCTCTGGTATAGGTCCACACTGAGATTCCCAGCATTTTAAGTATGGACCATAGTATAGTACAAGGGTAGGCAACCTTGGCTCTTTTATGACTCGTGGACTTCAACTCCCAGAAGGCTCAGGAATTCTGGGAGTTGAAGTCCACGAGTCATAAAAAAGCCAAGGTTGCCTACCCCTGTTGCCTAAACAAATTAGTTTAGAATGGTTCATATGATTACTTTATTGTGACAGAAGTGATACTTTAACATTTATTTCACCAGGGACCAGCTTGTGTTAAAGGTAATTTGAGTGCTTTTTTCAACTGTCTTATGAATCCCAGATAAGAGGACACTTAACTTTCCTTCCAAATATATATTTAAACAAATGTATGAAATTTACCCTGAAAACTTCAACTTGAAGATACAAAGATTAAGTCTCCCGGGAATGCCATTCTTCACTTCTAAAATGTCAGATCCTGGAGTAGCTATTTCCCCTATGGTTGGAAATTGGATAGTCAGAGAATCCTGTTTGCATTTGTGTTAGAAAGTTGTGATGCAGTTCATATCAAATCAGTCCAAGTTTATTGTTCTGCAGATTGTTCAAGGATTCACTTATTCTTTTATTTTATATTTCACATTTTACTAACTTGTGGGTTTACCATAGGTTGTAATATCTATATTGCTCTCTTTCTTATGAACTAATCAGTAGTTATAACTGGATTAAGAGACATGCTTAATTATTAGCACTTCTGCCAACAGCTGGATGCCTGGAGGGAAAGGAAGGCAACCATGTAGTGAGAGAAAAAGCAATTATAGTCATTACATAGTAATAATGGGGAGCTCTGAATGTGGACATAAAATACATGAAGATAAAACAGATTTTACTGATTGCCCCATAGCTGATGGAGGAATTGCTCAATTCAATAGACAGTAGAAAAATTGAGATAATTGATCTACAAAATCGAAGAATCATCAGTTCTTAAATCAACAGTTCTTAAATCAACAGTTCTTAAATCATCCCTATAGTACAGGGGTCTTCAAACTGTGGACATACCTGGCTGAGGAATTCTGGGAGTTGAAGTCCTCAAGTCATAAAAGAACCAAGTTTGAAGACTTCTGCTACAGTGGATTACTTTTTAAACAAATCCTGGAGTTTGAGTTGTATCCTAGTAGTAAGCACAGCATAGCATGGCCTTATTTCTCTGTTGGACTTGTTGAGATAGAGATGGGGAGTTGTTCCTGGGCCTCAGATGCTCTCTGAGCTACGTTTTTTTGTGGCTCCTCTCACTACCTCTCATGATCTTGCTCAGTGTCAGAAAGCTAAGAAGGCCTATCTGGCAAGCCACCAGATAATACCAAACCCAAACCAAAAACAACAACAACAACATCCTAGAGCAGAGATCTCCAACCCTTTGGACACCAGGGACTGGTTCCGTGGAGAGAGGTTTTTCCACGGACCGAAGGATGCATGGTTTTGTGTGCTACCTGCATCTCGTGGATGGGGCTTTGCTTGTTTGTGCGGCCTGGTTGCTGGCATGGCGCGGCCCAGTACTGGTCCATGGACCGAGGGTTAGGGACCCCTATTCTAGAGGAAAACCAAGAAAACCCATTCCATAGTGTTCTTAACAAATTGCCAGATCTTCTTGACTTGAGGAGACTTTATTTGTATTCACCACAGCATGGTAATTATTTTTTTAACTATTATAAAGCAAGGAATATGCAAAAACTGTAATGTGAACCTTACATGAGATTAATGCTATATTAAAAAAATCCCATAATCCTAGCTCTTTCCTCCTTGCTATGCCCACTGCATCCCTTAATCTCTTGAAAATACGAAACACTTATTTTGCTGTGGGTTGTAGTGGTTCTTCAGTGTTACATTCAACTTGGATGAAAAAGCTAAATAATTTTATGCCTGTAATATTGCTACATTAAACTGTAGATTGTTAATCATTTTTAAACATTTTATAGAAACATTAGTATATGGAAACAACATTATAACACATAATAAAAGGGAGGGGGTGGAAGAAAAAGAAAAAGAAAAGAAACTTAGACCTTGGAGATCAAGAGCAGACCACTCCTGCTCTGTACAAATGTTAACATCCTACTAGTTGATTCAAACAAGCTTATCACCATGGCAGTGCACAGTTGTGGTTTGTGAGAAATGTGATCCTTCACTAGCAGTTCGTTTCCACTTCCACAAATGGTATGTGCTTTTCAGGTAAACCGATTGGAGCATATTATTATTTTGTGTTAAAGAAATAGCAGAACGAATTTGTGCCACTGTGTTGATATTTGCTTACTTAACACACATCTTCATTTTAGCATTAAGATTTCTTATGCTTCTCGTATTTTATTTTCAAGTTAAATTCTTTTAAAATTCTATGTTGAATTATGAGCAGGCTCTTATTAGGATTTTCATCTCCTTTCAAAAGTAAAATATCCATTCCTTACTAGCAATCAGATTGTTTCTAAGGACATAGGGGGGAAAAAGTCTATAAACTGATAATTAGAGTACATGGCATTTTGCAAACTGTTCAGAATATCTCTTTGTCATATTCTTAGGGACTGTATATTCTTACAACTCCAAAGGCCCATGATGTCTCTCTTGTTTTATTTTAGTAATGATGCAATTTTTAATATTTGAAAATATTTCATTCCAAAATACGGTTCTGATGAGTTTTTATTATGCTATATACTGCTTTTCTGTTCCATCTTCCATTCTATCTCACTGTTTGATTAGGTCCCAGAAGCCATAAGAAAGTGCCAGCGAGCTGGAATTACAGTCCGCATGGTTACGGGAGATAACATCAATACAGCTCGTGCCATTGCCATAAAATGTGGAATTATTCACCCTGGTGAAGATTTCCTCTGTATTGAAGGAAAGGATTTTAATCGAAGGATTCGGAATGAGAAGGGAGATGTAAGTCGTGTGCAGAGAGATATAATATATTCTGCCCAATTGTTAAAGACCTGGAAAGATAAAGCAATTGTTCATTTTTAATGTGCTGCCCTCCATTTGTTTTTGCTTTTTTAGTTTTCTGTGCAACAGATATACAGTAATCCAAAAATGGCAATACTGTAATATTAAATGCTGATAGAAATTGTCAAGAGTAATTCAAACCCATGCATACATTTCAATTTTCCTTGCTGCTCATTTGTGCATCAAAATGTGGTACTGTTTCAAAAAGCTCCACTCCTGTTTTATCTGTTCCGTGTTCCTTTTAATAAGTAACTTGCACTTCCATAGAAACAACATCTGAATCACTATGCCTCAATAGCAGGATTGAAGCATAATTTGCAATCCTTTTTAAAGAGATTATGTAATGTGAAGTTGCTCTTTGAGCTTGGGTTTTGTTTTTGTTTTTTGCTTGCAAATGTTTTATTACACAACTAGGTAATACCATTAATGCAAACTCAGCTAGGTACTTTATACTGATGATGCTATCTAGTTGGGTAATTAAACGTCTGCAGGCAAACAACCAAGTTCAGAGAGTACTAAGGACTTCACAGTTCAACCCTGAGCTATTCTCTCTTATTGGAGATTATTTAATCCACAGTTTACCACCAGGAAGAATGAAATAGCACAAAAAAATTGCAAATTCCAGTTATTCTTTTTGTGTACATTCAAACTGAAAAGCATTTTTATTAATATTCTTTTTATATATCATAACTATAAAATGTTCACAATACAGGTCAGCCTTCTGCCCTCCCGCTCTTCCGTTCCTCCCTCCCTCCATAAATTTTTTGATTATAGGACTTATCCCACTTATAAAGTGATGCTTACTTTTAATTGTAGAAATTTGCAGCCTTAAAATGAGGATTATTTTTTAAGAATCTATTCTACATTTAATCACAAGTGTTTTTGTGAATTTAGAAAATTCCTATTTCATTTATAAAAAAAACTGATAAAGAAACTACACAAAAATAATCTGGTATTCATCAGGAATATTTAGAACAAGTTGTTGAAAGCAACACAATATTAAAAAATAGTATAACAATATTATTCAGACAATAATATTAATTTGATTGAGGATTGGAATATTTCTTTTCATCCTTAAAAGTGATATTTTTTAAAAATGGCACTAAACTGCATTGAAGACTGACAAATGGATTCTTTTTGTTACCCTTTTTACTATTTTCAGATAGAGCAGGAACGCATTGATAAGATATGGCCAAAACTTCGTGTCCTTGCTCGTTCATCACCCACAGATAAACATACCTTGGTAAAAGGTAAGTCTGCACTTTGGATGTATCTTTATATATTTATTATTCTATGATGACTTTTGTAGAAACTTAAACAGTTTGCTTGCTTGACACAATTTCCTGAACGTAGTCATAATCCACATAGTCCCAAGAAATTAGATGTAACAAGTTTTTGATGATAAAATTTATTTACACAGAATGGCAAATTACAAAAAAACAAAAACAAAACCATAATACAAGAATGTGGTCCATGTCAGTGCTGCAGGTGTTCTGTAGTGTTTGGATAATTTTTCAGGGAATCATATTTTCCATTAAAATCTATAACTGCCCTCTCACAAATATTATATTTTTCTATGCTTTTTCCTTGTATACTGCAATATAGTTTTTCTACCAAACTATTCCATTTTTAAAATGGACATTTCCTTATTCCAATTTTTTTTTTAAAAAAGAAAGCTGGGATGCCGGTAGTAGTATGTCCCGTTTTCAAGAACCATCCTTGGATCCAACGATTTTAGACAACTATTGGATTGCAGCTACAGAGAATCCTGGAAGAAACAGATTATTTCAGTCACATTTCAGTCCAATATTCAGTACGGCAACAACCTTGGTCATGTTTATTAATGAACAGTGATGGTGTTGGGATGAGAGGTTATTCTTATGCTCCTTGATCTCTGAGTGACTTTTGATTTGGTTGATCAAGGTATCCTTTGGACCAGTTCTGAATGTTGGAGATTGGCAGCACTGTTTTACAGTTGTCTTCCTTCAGGGCTGGTTCCAATCATTATAAAGAGGGAGAGATCAATCCATATGCTTCTTCTTTGTGAAGAGTGCCATGCTTTCCCCCTCCTATTTAATATCTACATGAATCACTATGCATGTTATCACTGGTTTGGGGTTCCGTATGCTGTTGTTATCTATTCTGTATTTAGACTCCAGGCTATTGAAGTTTTGG